CTAAATTATTATACGGACCCTCGATTTGGTCCTTGAACTAAAAAAATACTTGATTTGATCCTTGCTGTTTACCATTTTTACTCCGATTTGGTCCTTCCGTTAAAATCTCACCGTTATCTCACAACAATTTAATGACATGGCAAACATTTGAGACACGTCAGTTGTATAAATGAATAAATAATGACATGACAACGTGACATGTCATGTCTTTGCCCAACCCAACAAAAGTGGGGCCCACCAAAATTACGAATTTGCCATCATCTTCTTCCTCCAACAAACAAACCCAGCACCTGAGTTGAATCGAACCCAACAATACCCTTTGTTTTTTTTCCTTCCTCTTCCTTGCCTTGCTTTCTTCATCATCATCAAACACCGAACCCATAGTCATCAAACACCAAACCCACAGAAAAAAAATATATTTTTTTTACCCCTGGGTTCGAGGAACCCAGGTGTGTTGGGTTCTTCGAACCCACGCCTGGATTCCGTTGAACCCATGCCTGGGTTTGACGGAACCCAACTAGTTCGCCGCTGGGTTCCCAAGAACCTAGCCGTGAACCAGCTGGGTTCGAAGAACCCATGCATGGGTTCAAGGGAACCCAGGCGTGGGTTCCATTGAACCCAACCCGAGCAAGCGTGCTAGGTTCGCAAGGAACCCAGCACCTGGGTGGATTCGAAGGAACCCAAGCTTGCTAGGTTCTAAGGGGAAAGAGAATGGAAAGGGAAAGGGAAATGAGAAGGAGAAAGAAAAAAGAAAAAAAAATTTTAAATTTTATTTTTCATAATATTTTTTTATATTATTATTTTTTTCACATCATCATTTTTTGACTATATTATCTTACACGTGGATCACTACATGACATGTCATTTGGTAATCGTGAAATAACAGGCCACGTCGTACAATTTTTAACGGAAAGACCAAATCGGGGTAAAAATGGTAAATAGTAAAGACCAAATTAGAGATTTTTTTAGTTTAATGACCAAATCGGGGGTCCATACAATAGTTCAAGGACCAAAAAAGAATTTTAACCTTTAAAAAAATGACTAGCAAACTATGTAGATAGTTGGTTTTTGATAAACGTTGTTAAATATGTGTACAATGATTAATTTATGGGGTTTTTTCCTTTTTCCTTTTTCCTTTTCCCTTCATGGGACAACATTTTCCAAGCATATTGGATGATATGGACTATGGACAGCACGATGCTTAGAGACATAAGAGTTCAGATTTGCCTATTACTGAGGAAAGACAAGCAATATATGTATTTTATGTATCTAACAATGTCAGGTAATATCAAGGACAATGCATCTAATACGTGGTGAAATTATTGGGTTAAGAGAGTAGCTATCTGCATATCGAACGAATAAAGAAATCTATAGTTACCTGCCCTAATAGGGGCCTTTATATACCCAAAAATGGAGGCTGATCAGCTAAAGCTAATAGATAGTAACATGGCCAAATTAGGCTGATGAGTCTGGCCCTGCTGCTTCTACTGCCAAGAACCCATGGACTCTTTGCTTGCCATCCCAGTCGCTGTAGTCAGCAGTAGATTCAGACCGCTTCTCTGGCCCTGTCCCTATCCTTCTCTTGTTCTCTGAGATTGTCATTAGAAGAAAACCAATTGAACATCTATGGAGAATGGAATAACCAGACTGGTAACAGAGGGTAAAATAAGTAGAGGACTTACTTTTATTATTGATTGCACGGCGAGTAACTGCCAAGAATTCCTCCCACTTGAGTCCCCTTAGTTCTTGCTTCTCAGCCTCTGGAAGCTCAAAGTTAGGTTCCCTCCCACACATGAAAGCGGCTCTGTAGATGCAAATTTATCAATGGCTATCCACATGCTAAACATAATCTGTTATCCAGGAATCCTAACACATCATAGATGATGCCTAACCCTACAAAATTGAGAAAGCCTGAAGATGTGCATAGAAGTGCATATGAAATATTAGCCTCTACCATTTGTCCCTGTATGGGATGAAATTCCCTATGAATTATAAATTTCCTATTCTAGCCACTTATGCAATATGCATATGCACATCACTTTTGCTTAAGGTCAATCTACACATGGTTGGCAATGGTAAGACTGCCCAGTCAAATCATTAGCTTCTTGGCATGAATTAGATCTACATTTCCATTATTCTACTGTCCTTTATTATCATGCAACAGCCTACTTCAAATTTTAAACTTTCTTTTCCCGACCTATGTTAATTAGGTCAATGAAATATAGTAAGGTGAAACCATGAAAGTCAACATATCAGGACACGAAGTGTACAAACATTTTAGGCAACCCTTGCCTGTAAATCCTTTGTTTTCATTTTTCAGGAATATTAGAAGACCACAAAGTCTGCATGTACTTAAGAGTAACATATATAATCAATCCAGGTAATTCAATCATCACCTAGCATGAGAGCAATGAACTATATATCAAAAAACTAGCCAATCCTGCTGCTCCATGCTATTGAATCATTATTCATTTAGTGATTGAATTTTCAATGGCCAATGTGATAGGGATTATACTTTCAGCCAAATGATGGTAAAGAAGAGGTTAATGAGGGAAAAAAAGAGAGAGAAGAAAAGAAGAAGAAGAAGAAGATAGTAAAGAAATAAGAGGTGATAAGGTGCAAGTAATTCCATAGCAGCAACAGTCACAAGCACAGTAAAACCCAAAGTTACCTGTCATACAAGTGGGCAGCTTCTTCTTGTGAACCAACAGTCCCCAAGTGAATCTGTTTCTTGTCCACTTTTATCGCTGCCTGCCACTTCATATTTTTGAAATATACACCTCTCATCAGACATGGTTCTTGGTTGTGAACATGCTTCCTCCTATGTCGCTTTCTGCGTTTGATCGGTTGCTCTACAACTATTAAAATCAAGCAACAGCATCATTCAAAATGAACCCTAAAGAAAAGGCCCCTAGTATAAAATCTACATGCTAATGTGTTATCTATAAGCACCTAATGTGAAATTGGTTATAGGAAATATTATTTTCTTTTCTCTTCCATTTTTATGGTAAAACAGAAAGGTAAAATCTCCTCAACTTGCTTGTTTGTTTACTTTACTGGCCAAAACAAAACGTAGCTAGATTACTTGTGACAGACATTCCATGTCTGACAAGCAGCATCTAAGACACCCCAAAAAAGAGTAAAAGGAAAGTCCAAAAGTTGCATGTTACAGGGCTATGGTGCAAGAGTCAAGAGATAAATAACCTTTCCTACATTGCATTTCCAACCTTCCATATAATTAATGTCCAAATTTTCAAATTTGTTAGGAAACAGAAGTAATTGAGGAATAGTTATCTTCTCTTCTTTTGCACTAAAACAAAGTCTATCACAGTTGCTTCAATTTGAGGTAGAACAAGGAGTAGAAAATGGCAAAGGAGTAAGCAAGAGAGTAGGTTAACAAATTTTATCACATTAAACTTAAGTGCTAAGAGATCTTGTTTCTTTATGTTCATTAACTTATTGCTTGTCAAAAATAACCAATCTGATTAATACTCCATACCCATTCTATCACATTATTAAAATTTTGTAGGGAGTTTTATGAAATTCTGCCATAAACCATTTTCCCGATGGTTTGATTGCACTCTTGAGCTATTATGATTCTCTCTCTCCCTCTCCCTCTTCTTATTATTTATTTATTTATTTATTCATTTTAAGTTTTAACTACTCTTTGCTTTGTCATCCTTAGTTTTACTCATTTTGTCTCAGATAAAGTGTCTATAATTCCATGTTGAACAAGGTTTAACATGGTACTCCTTTAAGAATAGAATAAATATTTTCCTTCCTCTTATGTCATTGATGTTTAGTATAATCTTCAGAGCAACAATCACAACAATAAGAGTAAACTGAGGCTTCATTTTTGTATATACAAAAAAGAGCAACAGTGAAACTACCAATTGCCCTTCATAAAGCAAAGACATTACTACGTAAATATTAGCTGTGGAAAATCTCAATGCATAAGGCCATTAACGAGCCCCAAAAAGAAGTTGAGTGCCCTTACAGCAAAGCCATGGATTGAAAAAGTCTCCAATCCCATTACACAATGCTCCAATGAATCCCAAGATATTGAATATAGCAGTCTGCTTTTCTTCCTACCTTCTCTATATGAAATTTTGATATATTTGGTGAATTCTGCTTCACAATGATAGGATCCACCAAATATATTTGGTGAAGATGCTTTTGGGTTACATTTGATATATTTAACCCAAAAGAATCTTCTAAATTGACAGATGATTTTGAAGTATCCCTTGCTTGACTCATTCCAAAAGCCAGACCCTAGTCTGGAAGAATATTTTATGATCATAACCACCCAAGATCAGTCCTTGAAATATAACTTTTGGCCAAAAAACAAAAAAGAACTATAACTTAGGCGAACCCTACGCAATATATTACTTAATTTTCTGGCTGATCATTAATTTTATTGCAACTTAACTCAATCATAAAATACAACTCAAGATACCAAATACCACAAAGCACCTTTCCTCACAGCACCAGGGTTTAATACATGAAAAGGTTCTACTCAGAAATACCAGTCATACAACAAGGGTTCCACTCTCTTTAGCTTTCTCATTTCTAGGTAGCTATAGTTTTTCCATATCAGTTTCAAGCTTGTCTCAGTTATTTCTAGCATAAAATTCTCTTCCATCAACTGATGGGGTTGGCCAAATGGTAAGGATTGATGTGAACCATGGTGGAAATATAAGTTCAAATTCAAAATGCTCTTAATGCCATTTCAGTAAAAAAACAATTCCAACAAGAGACCACCCTTTGGTGGAGCTTGCCTGGTGCCACTAGACAAGGTTGTTTGCAGGCAGGTACCCATGAGACTACTTGGATCGAAGGTTCAGACACCCATGTTATCCAAAAAAGGAAACCCCTTCCATCAAATTAAGTTTTTTGGTTGCTGTTGTTGCTGTTATGGATTAAAAGTAATAGACTATAGAAGTAAAGAAGGGAAGATAAAACAGAGGACCTTATAGAGGCAATTAGCAAACAGCTCCAGGCTGCTTTATCATAACTAACAAAACATATGAAACAAGTTTTGAAAGAAACAAACCTGCAAGTTGATTATTCTGCTCTTTTGATGAGCCAGAACCAGAAGCATATGATGACCCAGGTCCAACTCTCACAATGCTTTTCTGAGAAAACAACAGTGAATAAGTATGCATAATTAGTTGAGACAAAAGAATGCACTGAGCAACAGAAACAACTCAGCACCAGCCTATCATATCATTTAATTAATTAAATATTAACAGCCATAAAGTCTTTTTGACATATTTATTAAGACTTTGGGTTAAGGTAACCTTTACATGCCCATTAAATGAACTGCAGGATAGGAGGAAAGAAAAATTATGATCAGAGATTCTAAGTTCCAGGGTCGGTTTACTCAAATAATGGAACAGTTTATCTAATGCTGACGTTTTACCTTACAGGTCAAAGCAGTGAATAAGGAGCACAGTTTGTCAGCAAGTTCAGCCCGGATGCAATTCTGAACCTTTTGCCATTGACCACTCAGTACTTATTAATTCTAGCTAGGCAGAACCATGTAGTTCCAAACATAATATTCAGTAAACAAGCATCCCCCAGTGTACAATTAACTGATCAAGCATTGTGTTTCCCACGACCCACCTATTCTGAATTATCTTCTCTTATCAAAGTTGACAGAGGGATCCTAACTATCCCAACAATTAGACAGATGCAAATGTAGAAGAGATATAATTATTACCTTATTATCCTCAAATGAAGATATAGTGTAGACAAACACAAACTAAAGTATATTTTGCTCCTAAAAAAAAAAAGACAAAATGAAATCTTTGACACCTCATCCCTAGACCTTACATCCTGCTTCAAAATTATCATATGCTGATGCAATTGTCAAAGTGCCTAACACTTTCATACAATAACCATCATTAACACAAGCACCTGTAACCCTTGCACATTACTTGACAACTGCTAACTTCATAGAAAATGGTACTATAAGTAAAAGACCTTGAGCAACAATTAGAAATACAAATTAGTTCAAGTAAATCTTCAAAGCAAACACTGCATCTCATTTATGTGATCAAATAAGCATAAACAGTTATAAATTCTTACCCCATGAAACCGGTTGGGACTATCTGATGGCATGGGATGCACGCTGACAGGCCTTGCATTTTGGCTTGAAATTCCAAGACCATTTCCATTGTCAAAAAATCTAGGCAGTGGAGCCAGAAAAGAACTCTTCCCTACACAAGACCACAAAATTTGGTGAATAATATTCACATAAAGCATAACACAGATCAAGTTGGATTCTATCTTTTAAATGGTCATATCTCACATATCATGTAAAGTTAGAAATACTACACACTTAAAAGAAGCACGTAATCTTTTGATGTAATATGCATTTCATCTAAGATTTACCAGAGCAGAGTCCCAGTAGCCTACGCCTCCGTAAGCTAACCATTTTGAGAATTGCAAGATCAGTTCACGACTGTTCAGTTTATTTTCCTCCGCATTTATCACCAAGCTCCTAAAATCACCAAAATCAGGTCAGTTGTGGAAGGATTAAACAATTTGAACACAACATTTACAATTATCCAAGAACAGTACATTACAGAATGAATAAGATGAAAAACAGAATGTGCCATACAAAACAACATCAGTAGATAGGTAAGCAGGATAGCATGTCATGCCAACAAGGGAAAAAGGAAAGAATAAAAAGGAAAACGTGGATTCTTTTGGCTACTATAAGGGAAACAAGCAAAATTACCAAAACTAGAAACAATTGCCCTGCGAAAAGCTCAAGACATTAATGTGAACCACAGATTACTATGCATCAACAACATTCAGTTGAAACTCTATTTTATTCTCATCTTTCATGCTTATTTAATTTGAAAAACTGCATGAAGAAGCTAAATTGTATGACAAAATCTAATTATTGGCTTTGACAAACCCAGATTCCAAGGTAATCAGCCAAGCATCTGAAAAAACACCAAGGCAGAAGCACATCAATGTAAAATTAAAAGAATTTTCCCAAGGAGATAAAACCCATATGTGGATAAGATTCCATTACCAATCTAACCATACCAACCAAAGCCACAAAAAGATTCATACTTGTTCGTACTACAGAAGCCATTCTCAGGATTTTAGGAAAATAGAAAGACACAGACCTGTATAAATCACACGAACCGTTTCCAGTCACCCTACGTTTTGGGGGAAATGCTTGTTAACTGGGGATAAAGGGACAAGGTGACATAAAGCTTAGCCCGCATAAAATTCAAGGAAAAAAACTAGATTGATGATGATTTGCACAAAGCAAAACCTAACAAGGCCATTGTATTAGTGTCGGCCAAGGACTTAGATGATAAGAAATCCCAATAGGTCTCCGTGGAAAAGAAGTCAACTCCCACCAACCTACCACCTTTCATGGAGGCAGGAGCAGTGGAGACAAAAACCCAGAAGCCCAAAATACACACCCATTTAAACAAAAACACAGAAATCGAGAGAAACCCACAACAGCCAACATGTGAAAACAACAACACTGCTTAGCTTTGAGACCCATCAGAGCATAATGCCCATGAGTCCATGACCAAGAACAGAGTCAACAAATCCAGCAAAAAACAACCCATTATCAAGAAGATTAAAAAGTCATCATCTTTATCATAGTTAGGTACCTGAGAAAGACAAAGGTGGTGGTTGGAAGAGCGTAGAAACCGAGGAGAGGTGTTTATTGGGTGAAATCTGGAAGAAAAACAATTGGGATTTTTAGGAAGGGGGGGGTAAGGTGGTGAATATATGTAGAGAAAAGAAAAAAGGAGGATTATATTGAGTTTGAAGTTGTTGTGTTGTGGTGGCTCATGCATCTACCACCTTTTGTTTTTATTTTTGTTTGTGTGAAGCCAATTTTAATAGGAGGGGGTGTGTGGGGAGGTGAGGTGAGGTGAGGTGATGCTGCTGCTGCTGGAATGCTGATGTTTTAGACTTTGGAGAGAGAGAGAAAATACAGAGAGAGAAAAATTAAAAGGCCAAGTCTTTGTTAGATGAAGAGAGAGAAAAAGGTTGAATATGAGAATAGAGGACGTAGGCTTCTTCTGAGTACTTGTTGGGTTAAGATTCCTTTATTACCCTTTTTAACCTTCACAAATCCCACATTCCCTTACCTTAGGTTTCCTTAGATTCGCCCCAAATTTACCTTAATACCCCTTTAACCCAAAGCTTCCTGAGTAAGAAATATTCCCTCTTTTTTTTTTTTTTATGAGTCTGAAGTTGGCATTGTGCACACGCCGGAGCTTATTGCCATTTTAAAACCATTGTTATAATATTGAAAAATATTTATTTATAAGTTATTTTAATTTATTTTATTAAATAATAAATATTAATTATTTTTATTAATTTAATTTAATTAAAATTTTAATCATTTTCGTAACTTTAATAAATTTATTAGTAATTATAATCATAATCAATGTACACAATATAAAATTTGATCACTTGGCTATAATACACAATTTTTTTTAAAAAAAAAGATGAAGAACCATGCATGCTTAGGAGTCAAAGGCTATGGAGTCTTTGTCTGACCTTATTAGCATAAATAAAAAAATCCCTATTGTCATGGGATTTTTTTCTTTTTGCATTATTGTTCATTTCTTTCCTCTAAAAATAGCAAATTTTCTCGATCCTTGCAGGGTCCTCTTGGGATCCCTGCCACAAGGACCAGTTGAGAGCGGGAAGCATTTTCTTCTATAAATTTTTACAAAAAAAATGTTTTTTTGTCTTGTGGGTTTTCATTGGAAATATTATTTCTCGTTAAATATTAAAAAAAATTTATTCAATTTAATTTAATTTAAGTTTTTAATTTATAACTATAAATTACATACAT